AAACTGCATTACGATGTTCGGAACTTTGTATACAACTTTATAATTATACTAATTTGTAAGGCTGTTGTATTTATCGCATACAGCTTAGTATTCTTATTCTCTAAATTTATCTTATAGTAGAGTCTTGTAAGTTGCTGAATTTTTAACATTGTTTAAACTCGCAACTGAATTTTGTGTGCTTTTGCATCAGCAAATAAGTTAATAACATGATCAAAGTTAGCCATGTTGTCTGCTTCACCACGCTCAATACAAAGTAGTGCCAAATCATGTCTCGCTTTTCCCATCGTGGCTCCGAGATATGGCAGGATGAGCTTTAGTCATGTAGTCATTACAGAATAGGATAAAAAAAAACAAGAGAAAACGGTCGAAATGGACTGAAAAGAAATCACAATCTACTGTATAAATTTGCCAATTAAAACAACTCCATTCAGATTCTTACTATTAATTGGAAAATATTCATGCCTGACGACATACATCAATTTCGTCGTGCTTTTCTAAAAAAGTGCTTATTTTTTTTACTCTCGATTTTCCCTCCCCCAAACATGGCGCCCGGGGCACGTGCCCTCCCTTGACATACCTAGCTACGCCACTCTCTATGAAGGTGGAAATGCCTTCCCCTACTCGCTTGTCATTCATTTTAACTTCTTTCTTTTAATTACTGTATACGCTTGTCCATTTATTTTATATTCTAGTGGATTTGACTAATTCGATATTTAATTTCAGTTGTATTTACTCTTCCAAACTCCACGCTATCATGCCTTTTCTGATCTTTTTTATTCTATACCCAGGGATGAAATAAATACATTTTGTAACATTAACTATACGTTATTTGATAAAACATATTAGAAATACATTCACCATAGGTTGTAGGAACTTCTTTTCCATTGAGAAGGTGCCGTGTTATTGTCCTGTCAAAATCTGACACAACCTGAAAAAAGCATATGATTACATCATTTCATTCCATTTATTTCGCCAATACTAACATACAAAAAACAAAAAAGACACGACAATAACATTGTCGGTGGCAGGATAAACAAAGAGCAAACTTAATTGCTGTAACAGTTTTTCCTTCGAAAAGGGTATAACAGTAAGATTAAAACATTAAATATAAAAATTTAGTATATATATAAATATATTATAAAAATAGATATAAAAAAAATCATGGAAAAATACAACAGGAGCATAATCAAGATCACCTAAAAAAAAAAAAATGAAAAGAAAAAATTGCAACTAACTACCATTCGATCTCACGATTGCACATGGATTTTAAGCTTCTCGAGAAAATTAGATATGCTGATGTTAAGTTCATCTCTGAGGTCATCAAATAATTTTGACTATTTATATAAAAAAGTATAAATATCGATTACATCATGTTTACCTGAAGCCGCCGATGGTCTTATTTAATATTAACTAATGTATAAAGACCATGGACGCACTTTTTATTAACGTCGATAGGCCTATTTGAATGTATGCCTATAAGCATAAAGCTGCTGCAAAAAGTTGGACGAAACAAATTTAAAATAAACCTCATGTAGGCCCTAAGGTAAGTTAGAGTGGGAACCCACGGAAGCCATAGTTCACCCTTTTAAAAGAGGGTTGACTATACTATCAAAACGTACCTGAAATTTTCTGTGACCACCTTTCATGAAAGCTGTAACGATTTCTTCCACTTTATCAGGATCTTTGATGTGAATATTTTCTTTTTGAAATTCTGGAATCTAATGAGAAAGGAAAACGGTTCACATGATCTACCATAGTTTTGTCTGGCAAGTGGACACTCTGACGAAATCCCAGTGAGTAGTTTGTATTATGAGTACCGGGGTACATCATTTTGGTTCAACAGCAATGCCTGTGCATGTCCAAAAAATATATTTGTATATGCTTAACAAAAGACATGTTTGTATTTTATCAATAATAGAGTTAGGTTTAAATTCAATTGCGCTACATCAGCACATTTTATGGCAAAAATGTAGGTTTATATGTCAACTAGGGAATCAGGTCAACTTGGCCCCAAGTCAACTCGGCCCCATGTCAACTCGGCCCCAATTTTACAATTTCACTATATATTTACAAAATAATTACCAAAAGAAATTTGAATGCAAAGTCAAACTATGCCAAAATTAAAGTGTTTTAAATTGTTGCCCTTGTTAATAAATAAATTTATATATGCTAATAAGGTTTAGTGCTCTCACTATTTGATATCATTGTAGAACTTTGTTAGGGTAGTTTTAGAGTCACTAAATTCTCACATTTGGGATTTTGGAATTTAGATAACAATTGTTTTGTTTATTATATATATATATATATATATACATACATATATGGTACCTAAGTATAGGTCGAAATATTTGTTTTCTCTAATAAAGTGTCTCTAAAGTCCATACATATGCTATTCGTTTCTTGTTATTGTTTATATACAAAGACGGTTTCGATTTTATCTATTATATGATAATTGATATACATATAGGCTTATATATATATAAAGTATATGTAATATGTCTATATATATAAATATATATAGTATATTTAATATGTCTATATATATTTAAATATGTGTATATATATTTAAATATATATATATATACATATATATATATATAAAGTATGTCTATAACTCATTAAGTATTGTCATGATTATATCGTTATATACAATTTATTATATATAAGTATATAAAGTATATTTAATATGTCTATAACTCATTAAGTATCGTCATGATTATATTGTTATTATTGTCATCATATCGTTATTGTCATTATTAGTTCTATTATACTTTTTAATATTGTTATTATTAATATTGTTTTAATATTAATTTCATAAATGCATTTTTAATTATTTTTAAGTGGATGTAAATGAAAAGAAAAACAAAGCAACGACATAAAACACTTTAGTTTTGATTTTGCATTCAAACCTCTTTTGGTAAATATTTAGTAAGTACACAGTAAATTGGGGCCTAGTTGACTTGGGGCCGAGTCGACTTGGGGCCGAGTTGACATGGGGCCGAGTTGACTTGAGGCCGAGTTGACTTGGGGCCGAGTTGGCTTGCGGCCGAGTTGACTTGGGGCCGAGTTGACTCGAATTCGTCAACTCGCTCTTTTTCAAAGCAAAATACTTATTGGGACTCATAATAGCACTATTGCGTGTATTACAGTACATGAGACATCGTGAAAAGGGTTACCGTAGCACCATCTATTGATAGGCCTATCAGTGTTTTTTTTTTTTTTTTTTTTTTTTTTTTTTTTTTTTTTTTTTTTTGTGTTTGTTTTTGTTTTTTTTTTTTTTTTTTGTTCCTCTTGTGACTACGTTTATGTAAATATTACAGTTATAGTTCTCTCCTAATTATGTGGAATAAGCCCACTGAAGAAACGTTAAAATATTTTTAGCCTACAGTAGGTCTAATGATGTAAAAGCATAATCATACGGAACGAAGCCGATGAATAAGCCTAGTTGTGACTACCTGAAACAACAAGGACGTATAAAATAACAATAATAATTACTGGTATTATTTAATAATTTGTATACTTCCTTGCCTAAAAGTAGATTATTTCAGTTTACTACATCAATATCTACAAAACGAATACCACGCTCATATGAATATAGGATAAACATAGGATCGGCTACCGTAATTTTTGGTTGGGCCTAGTAGGCCTTCCTGTAAGACTGATCCTTTGTAATCCGTACATTCTTGTATACTACTTTAAATTATCAGATAATACTTGCCTGAGAAATATCCATCGTGATGCTACTATGTATAAGCCTATATTTTATCCGTAGAAGAAAATGGCTTATAACCGTTTCCAGTGCTTAGCCTACGCAAATAATTATGTAAAAATATAGGGGATTCTGGGATAGGCTATGTGATTTTATGCTGTATACAATAATTTCCAGTGACGTCACAAAGAGTCACTTCGATACATGACAATAATCAATGCTAAACATGCTTTGTTGTAAAGAAAACAACGAAACGGGTTTGAATGTTAACGCTTATAATGACATAAATTCACCAAGGAAAAGACTTAATAACATTATTTACATACAGTACTGTACTGCCATTGTCTGCATTATTGTGGAATGTTTACTGAATTGTGTTTATAGATTATATATAATATATAAAATATTAATTATAGATGATTAATATTTCGAAAAATAATTAAAAAAAAGAAACCCAGAAATCTGTTTTATTTTATTTTTTTTTTATTTCAACCATCTTTAAAGAGGGTAACCCTTCCAGTTTAGCCCAGTAGGTTAACTGATATTCAGGGGCCCTCTTTAATAAAATCAAAGAACAGTACAAACAACATCATTACAACATAATAATAATAATAATAACAATAATAATAATAATAATAATAATAAGTCTTAAAAGTATTAAATTGACTTACATAAAGAAAATTCAAAATAGAAGTTTAATTTATAATGCCTATTATAATATAATGTAATATAATATAGTATAATATAGAATAAAAATCAAACAATGTAATAATAAGAATAGCTCAATAAAACTGCAATAAACAACGGCTAAGAGTTTAAAATATATCGTTTTAACTTAAGT